ACCCACATCCCATCCAATGATTTTTTTTTAAATTATTATCCTTGACCTTAGGCCCGATTTAGACTAGAAACGCTTAAGGGGTTTTGGCCAGGGAAACGTTTTGGAACGGTTAACCGTTCCCGGTCTAAAGAGGAAAAAACGGTTTGTTATGGGTTTTCGCGGACCGTTTCCGAAAACCACCTCCATCGTGGTTTTCGACCGTTTCAGAACCCTTCAGCGGGGGGCCCGAAACGCTTTTTGCTAGGTCTAAAGTCAAAGGGTTTCTTGAAACGGTAAACCAGGTCACGTGTCATATGCTAATCACATGCTAATAAGCCCGCGCGCGTCCATTTTCTGGTAGATTCGCGCCATATTCGATTGTGTCCATTTTCGCCATTTTATATCAGGTATTTCTCGAATTTTCGTCATCCTTTATGTCTGGGGGGATGCCAGAAGGCCAGGGGAGGGTCTGGACCCAAGAAGAGATCCGCTGCTTGATCAGCTTGTGGGCCGATCAAACTATACAATCCCGCTTGGAGACCTCGCGTAATAGGGAGGGCATACAGATGCTTGTGGACGGGCTGGCGGCTGAGGGGTATTTACGCACCCCAAAGCAGGTTCGGGCGAAGTTCAAGGCCCTGAAACACAAGTATCATAAGGCCAATGAGGCAAACCGTAGAAGCGGTTTGGGGAGGTCATCATAGGTCACTGTGGGTCAGAAGCATCCTGCGCCACGGGCGGCCCGAAACGCTACCGACTCTGTGTCTAAAGACGAACCGTTTTCTGTGGCGAAACGTTTCGTACCGTTTCGAAACGGTATACCGTTTCTAATCTAAATCGGGCCTTAGAAAAGTTTCTTTCTACCTTCGGAGCCCTGTAACAGGAAGTGGCTTGTCTTGCAATATGTATTGGTTACTTCTAATTAGATAGATTTCTGTCTCTATTTTTCTATGGCAGCTCTGTATGCGTTATAATCACAATGTAGCATACACTGCCTAACAAGTAATTCGATTATGACCGTAACACGATTTTCACGCTACAGTAAACCTCATTACACAGAAACAATTTGGCAAATTAGCGTAGATGGATTTTCTGCCCGCTTTTACACAGTGCCTGCGTGTTAACCCATCAAAATTGGCATACTGTAGTACTCAGGCCTCAGGGTCAAGGAATAACTGTGTACAGTACTGTTACATGCTACATACATGTAGTCAATATTCAAGCACATACTGTACATAGTAAGGTTCAAGTCAGCAGAGTTGGCAGGTTTTGCAACGTAGTAAATTTAAGTCTGAGAGCCAACAAACTAATTTGGAGTAGCCAAAAAATTTGACAAAATTAAATTCTGCCTCAAAAAGTTATATGATACCAGTAAGTTTAACTAGCTTATGATTCATGCAATATAGACTACTAGCATTGTCTTTGTTTGTTACATACAGTCTCAAGCCAAGGCTTTATGAGGTCAACATGCTGACTTTACAAATGTACATCAGGAAGGAAGCCAGACAGGATAGGAGGGGGAAAAGAAGTCTGCTATAACTATACATCAGGCTAGGTCAACAGCCTGGGGCTGGTGCAGGGAGGAAAGAGAAATCCATGTCAGCTACCATGCCAGCTTATAAACCTGCATTTCTCCTCTGGTCTCTTAGTGTCACTGACGAAAGGTTGGATGCTGCCTGAAACGGCCGGCCATTTCCAAAATCATATCCAGCTGCTTGAGTAACTACTTTTTGGCATTAATTCTTATTACCTGGATGTCTAACCTTCATCCATGCAGCTACCATATGATTCACATGATGAAGGTTAGCAGCCAGGGGCTGGCTTAGGGAGGAAAGCGAGATCCGTGTCAGCTACCATATGATTCACATGAAAAGTCAACTGTATAACATTTCCGTCTGGCAAGCATCCACGTACATGTTTGAAGTTCTGAGGTAGAGAGTTACATGTGTTTGTGCATGTATAAGGGTCTACATGCACTTTTTGCTACATAACAAACCATTTTAAGTCTGCTAATCGTAGCCTTTGATTCAATGTTAGCGTTGTCAGGAAATTCTTCGTGAAGCCTAATTTGTCACTTTACTTCTATGTCCTACGTTCTCTCTTATCCAATATTCATTGTTATGCGTCATTGAAAAATTCATTGTTTAATCAAATGCCCCATTGCCCAAAAATCATAACAGAGCATCCAATTTCAAGGTCTGAAGACTAAAAAAAAGTATTGCCAAACACCCCCAAGAACATTCCAGAACAGAAGAATATCCCAAATTAAAGCCTTATGCATCAAGTACTGCCAGGATCCCCCCATGCAGACCCTCTAGTACTAGTAGGGGAGGTCCCCTAGTTTAGGGTCAATAGGGTTACTGTGTACATTTGTACATTAAAATCTGTTACTAGGCTTACAGATTGTGGTTGACATTCTAGACTACCACAGTACATACTAGACTGCTGTTATTTTTTGCCACTGTTTACATAAAACTTTAAAAGGCTAGAAATTCCTGGTCTGAACAGTGACGTAAGTCAAGAGGATATCATTGTTAGCTTAGAGGATTTGATCATTATAATTTGTTAGCGTGTATAGTGCACAGTCATACCAGCCTCAAAAGTGCTGACTTCCTTTTGGCTTCCAAATATTTTAAGATAACAATCTGGCCTTGTCTAAAGGGTGACATACAACTGTAAACATGCTTCCTGTTTCTTAATTCAAGGGGAACAGCATCTGAAATTATGTGGATTTCTTAATATTTCACAACAAAAAACAGAGAATGGGGCATTGTTATCAACGATTAATATTCAACGGACTACAAGAACATTTGGTATCCAAAAGATTTGAATTTCTGATATATTTAGCTCTAGACAGAATACATATTCGTTAAGTAATGTTAGGAAAACATGGAGTCTACAGCTACCAAAATTTGTTACTTGTAAAAAAGTTCTAGACTTGTCACAAGCGATTAATATTCAACGGCTTACTACTAGTACTAGAATATTTGGAATCCAAAAGATTTGAATTTCTGATATATTTAGATCTAGACAGAATATATGCATACATTTTAATGTTAGCAAAACATGGAGTCAACAGCTACCAAAATTTGTTACTTCTAGGCTTCCTTGAATAGTTTGCGCCATTTTCGCGGTTGTCTGGGAATTCCCGTTTATAAAACAAAACCTTTGTCCTCTACTACATCGGATATCAACACCAGAAACGGAGTGCTTTTTTACGCCAGCTTCAAAGTCATGACCTTTCATACAATGGAAAGTCCTTCTTGACAAAAGAACTACATACATGTCGTATTGTTGACCGTTTTAGAAGCTCAAAGGTTGGCTTACTACTAGGGAAGCATAAAGAATTTTCTACTGCCGGTACAATATTCTACAACATATATATCGAAAGAAACTAGTGTAAATGTACCACACTAAACAGGGCTCAAAATTCATTTTTGGGAATAGGTGCAAAAAATATTGGGTGCACAAAAAGAAAGTATTTGGGTGCACTGGTGCATGCACCCACAGAAAAAAAATTGGGTGCACAGCTCCAAATTTGGATGCACTAACTAAGGTGCACATGCACCCAGTATTTCGAGCCCTGTAATATTAAAAGTTGAAAGATCTGTCTGTATAGATATCTTTGACAAGCCATCTCAAAACGGACGTATTAACTGAAGAGATAAGAGAGTTGTTTGTGTTTCGGAATTCCTCTAGACCCTGCATGACCTTTTATCTATATGATTATCACGTTTGATCAAAACAACTCGACAATCTTGTATCTCCAATCTTCAAAAGTCAAGGCTGATACAAGGTATTATATATATATTTACCTTTTTGTTGAACTGTACTAAACCTTTTTAGGTTCAACTTAAAGCAGTTATATACTATGCTTTTGTGAGAAGAAATTGCAATTGTCATTTTTTACAATATGATATCTAAAGCAGAATCAACTTAAAATTTAATCAAGAAGAAATTAATAAAAATGAGACTGGTATAGTGCCATTGTTTATATTGTATGCAACCCACACAAACACACCAATGATTGAAAAATCCAGCTACAAATTACATAGACTGTATCATGTATGTGGGGTCAGCTATGTTTCCCTTTGAGACTTTCTTACAATAATAAAAATCAGTATCAGCTAAATTTGATATGGCAAATGTGTGGATACACTGATCTTAATCAGATAATTAGTGCCCAAAATTATGACTAGAATTTGGCCTCCATGCTTGCTTTCCTTATAAAGATTACCATATAATGTTCCTTATATGTATATATAGTTTGAGTTGTGAGTTGTTTTGAAAATTATACTATTGTGTGTCTCCAAAAATAAACAATCAAAACAAGACTGAAACCTGATTCTTTACCTTGAGTGTGTGCGATGTAGTGTGGCTTGTTGGGGAGGTCAACCTTTGTGTTGTTTTGTGGCCACCCAATCGTCAACAATAGAGGTAAATAATCAACAAGTCTATTCAACAGCGTATTGTGTATCTATTGGTATTTAAAAGAGGTAAATACAAAGGTTTTGCTCTCTAAGCTCTAAAATGCTACACTAAGTATTAAAACAAGAAAATAACTTATCAAAAGTCAGAAATATTGAAGCTAACCTCTACTTAAAGAGAGAAAAGTGTGGTAAAAGAGGAGGGGGCTTTCTGGCCATGCCATGTTTGGTTTCGAAAATATTTGTACGTGCCCGAACTTGAACTTTCTGGCGAAAATCATCACGTTTTCTGAGGAAAAGTTTGCTGATAAAAAATCGTAGATGCAGTAATAGCTATCTGTGCATGTATAGGATTGTATAACGGGGTAACAAAGCAGCTTACCTCGTCCACAAGTTCAACGTACGTAGTGGGGAACCAGTCGCGAACGCCGTGCAACTCGTTGTTTCTGTCGTCTGACAAACTGGGAAATTTTTCTGCTCTCTTCTTCTAGACTACCAAAGTTTTTCTGCTCTCTTCTTCTACCAAATTATAGATGAAGTAATACGTATGTGTGCACGTATAGGGTGGTATAACTGGGTAACAAAGCAGCTTACCTCGTCCACAAGTTCAACGTAGGTAGCGGGGAACCATCCGCGGACGCCGCCGTCCCTCTCGCCCTCCCACCACCCGTCCTCCGCCGTCTGTAGCACGCGGACCCAGGCCCCGGCCTCGAAAGCCAGCCCCTGCTCGCCTGGCTCCGGCACGAAGTCGTACAGAGCCCGGCACAGCGATCCCTCGGCCTCCATCGAGGTAAAAACGACTCCAAACCACCAGAAAACTCCTCAGCAACTCGTTGTTTTTGTCGTCTGACGAACTGGGAAGTTTTTCTCTCCTCTCTTCTTTTTGCCCCCCGAGATTTCCGGAAGTGGGAAGTGTTGATTTCGCCGCCAAGCATCACGGGACAGGATGAATTTTAAATTTTGGCGGGAATACTTTTGGATTTAAAAAAAAATCACCCCTGGACCACATCAATATAATTTCTTGGTTGTTATATTTCACAGAAAGTTAATGAGTGACTGAACGAAATAGAAATAAGGAAATATTCCTCGTTCTTTGATGGGTGCAAATACTAACACAGAAGCCACAGTGCCAACAAGCCAGACTGTTTCAAACTATGAATTATGAACTTTTTAAGCATTGGTCATTTTAAAAAGATTACAAGAAAAGTGGCCACGAAATATGAGTCCTTTTGGAGGGAATTAAGAAAATAGATAAATTTATCATTTGACCCGAACGCAAAGTTCACTGAACTTCGAACCATGGTATGTTCGAACATTCGAACACGTCACGTGTTCAGGCTTCGATCGACCCAAAAATATTTCAGAACATCGATTCGAAACGGAAGACGCCGTTAAAATCAGGTTAAATCGGTAATGGTGGCAGGTTATGTTTGTTTACTCGGTAAAATAAGCCGGTGTGAAAAAACGATTTGTCACGCCAAGTCGGCAGTTTATTTCCAGAGGTCTAAAATGTCCGGTAGCGAACTTTTGGAGCGGCTTCAAGAAGTGCAGCAAGTTTTAACACATTACTAGTAGATGCACGATGGTAAGAGCTTTGTGTACTCAAGTATATCATAGACCTGTCATTTGTTCCAGATGTTTTTAAGTCTGTGCATTGTGGACTGTATGGAGAAATTATAACGTTACCCTATAACATTTTTGTGTTACACTTACAGGTGAAGTGGGCGCCACAAGTTTTGTTTATTTTCATTTCTGTCATCCTGATTTTTCTCCTGTCAGCATGTTCAGCGGAGGAAGATGAAGGTAAGAAAAATCTGGAAAGTGATAGTATTGTGGGTGTGAGTGTGATTTTGTTTGTGTGTGTGTGTGTGTGTGTGTGTGTGTGTGTGTGTGTGTGTGTGTGTGTGTGTGTGTGTGTGTGTGTGTGTGTGTGTGTGTGTGCGCGTTTGCATGTGCGTGCGTGCGTGCGTGCGTGTGTGTGTGTGTAGCTGGGTTGGTGGAATGGCTAACGGGTTGATGGTTACCTTTCGTCGAATTATATTCTTGGTTCCTGTGTTACAAAACAAATATAACGCCACGGATCTTATTTCTTCTACCAGAAAGTGTCATAGACATCGAGTCTAACAAGGAGATGGCTAAGATGCTTCTGTACCTCAAGGACGAAGCCAGAGACACGTTTTTCTCGGACTGCATCAAACATTTCTGTGAAGACCACGAGCTGTCAAAACACAACAGCGACATGTGGGAGTCAGAGGACATCAAGAAAGCAAATCATGTAAGTCTGATAATTAGGTCACTGCATCGATTGTTTGTTTGTTTGTTTGTTTGTTTGTTTGTTTGTCTGCACGCTTACCAACAGAAAAATTTTAAAAGCGACATGTAAGGGACTGCGTAGCGTCATGTAATGTTTAATGATCATATTTCATTTGGCTCTGCTTTAAATTTCTTTTCCAGGACCGCTTCTGGGCAACTTATCGCTGTACAGTGAAGAAGCAACCCTCGGATTGCCCAGGTAAAAGGATAATATTGTAATTAGGGATTTTTCGTGAAGAATCTGTGAAGGTTCTGTGAAGAATCTGAAATGTGCGTTTGTATGGTCGTATGTCTGACCCACAGACATTGGAATTGTTCTAACGTTACTAATATAATGTTTAAACACATGATGTACCAATCCAGTCCATTTCTGTAGTGTTGAGTGTATGTGCAACGTCCCTTTCTAGTAGCGACAACAACCCGGATCGCGAACTCACAAATTCTTTGTCCCAGAGACGTTAGGTGTAACAAGTCGAGTGCGTGCTGCGAAGCTGGTGTGTTACGCCGAAGGGTGGTTATACCAGCTATACAGATACAGAAGCTGGTGTGTTATGCCGAAGGGCGGCTATACCGGCTCTACAGATACAGAAGCTGGTGTGTTACGCCGAAGGGCGGTTATACTGGCTATACAGATACAGAAGCTGGTGTGTTAAGCAGAAGGGCGGTTATACCGGCTATACAGATAAAGAGACATTGTCTTTTTATTAATACCACTGAACTACCTACATGTAGGCTACACGCACGTTCCAACGCTTATAAAATGATCTCCTCACAGTTGACGGTGGCTGGACGCAGTGGAGCGAGTGGGACATCTGTAGTCTGACCTGCGGCCCGGGCCTCCAACACCGCAGGAGGACGTGTTCCAACCCGCTCCCCCAGAACGGCGGCTATCCGTGTGACGGCCTGGCCATCGATACACTGCGCTGCGAGGACAGACCGTGTCCAGAAAAGGGTAAGGGTTAAACTTCATATGTCATTAAAACCTTATACTATCATGAAAGTTCATCTGTGTTGGTAGTTGCATGTTTAAAGTTAAAACTTTTGGTCCAACACAAAAAATTCTCTCACTTAGAGCTTCCGACCAGTCACTCTGGTCTTCCTCAGTAGACTGACCCAGTGAAGCTTGTCACGTGGCTTCTTTGAAGTGTGACGTCAACGCTGAAATCTCCAATGTCTTGTTTGATTTGTTCTTCCTAGTTTGCGCCGCTGTGCTTCTGAAAGGGACTCCGGTAAACGAGGCTCTCCTCCCCACCATGACGGTGTACAGCATGATAGACGGGGAATCCAACGGTCTGCCTGTGTTCGCCAGCAAACCAAACACTATCTGTAAAGGCCCATGCTACCTTTTCTCTGTCTTACATGGCGACGAGGACAAGGGACTGTGGTGTTTCGGCTTCAAAGTCGGTGAAATGAAGTGTTTCTTCATCGGACAGGGGCCAATTGGTCAGCTTCCAGCCAACATTACTGTCATGAGAGAATTTGTGGAGGGAGGGTTTCGCAAGAATCCGGATATGAACGTCATCTGTAAAGGTGGGTATATTATTTTTTTTTCAACTTTTCTCTTTAGAAATGCGAAAAACAAGTTGTAAAGGTACCAACTGCATAGTAAGGAACACCTGACGTGGCATAACATTTTGGGTGTGAAATTGTTTCACACTGCCGCAAGAATTTTTTTGTACCTTATATTGAGCTGATAGAAAATCTCTCACGAAGTGTACATTTCATGACTTGTGAGGGAACATTTCATTTAGCCTATAAGGGCCTCCATGAAAAACAGGCCCACCACCGCCACCACGCCTCCTCGGTGCAAGCTGCCAAAGATCGTCTGAACGAAGTGCATGCTGTTCATCCGCAGCTTGAACAACTCTGCGTCTTCGCCAAGTGCAGTTACGACCAAGTGACGCACTTACTTCCAAACAAACACGAAATCGTGAGTACTCTAAACTATGTCTAGAGTTAGAAGTTCAAGGGTTAGGTGTAACAAGTCGATCGGTGTGATGTAGCCAGCTGCCGCCGCGCCGCGTGCCTGCGAAGCTGGTGTGTTACGCCGAAAGGCGGTTATACCAGCTATACAGATACTCATATCAAACTGATATGACTCGTGAAATTTTGAGGGATCTATGTAGGCTAGATTCGAGCCTTTTGAGCCTTGGTCTCTCAGTCACTTATTTCGTGGTGGTGTCACAAAATGAGGGTGCCTCTTGTGGGCTATTTAATTGTCAACAATACAAGTCAGAAATCTAAGATAATGACACAAATATGTTGAAAAGTGGAAGTTAATCACAAATATTTTTTCAGTTAAATAATTGCATTTGTGTTTCACCGAAATGTCACAAAATTCAGATTTAAGCTAAAATACGAACATCCAGGCTTTTGTGCATGTATCTGTCCATGGTACTGAAAGTGTATTTGCTGTAAAAGCTTTCCGATATCGAACGTTCTGAGTTGTTTTGAATACAACTGCGCCAAATAAAATTTTACTGTCAAAGCATTGGTAAACAATTGTTTGTTTGAATTTTTACCCAACAGAATTCCTACTGGTCGGATCTCTCCTGCTATAAGTATTCCAGATCATGCAGAGGTGCGTTTTTCATTAAGTAGATCTCTAAACTATCTAAGTAACCAGATTATGTAAAGCATCACATTATTTTATATGACATTATGTAAATCATTACATTATGTAAAATACCACATTGTGCTAATCATCAAGTTATGTAAATTATAGCATGACGTGGATCACCACGTTTAGGTCAACCAATCAGCATTGCTGCAAATGTTTGGGACAATGCCATTCCACTATTACTAGTCTGTAAGATAGCGGGTGCTACCTGTAACATCTGACTCTTCAAATGATTTTTCCATGTGCTTGGGCCTTTTTGTATTACGTAACACCAGGTCTCATTCAGAAATGTATGCCTAGATCTGTCAGAAAATGCCTAGTTATGTCAGAAAATGCCTAGATCTGTCGGAAAATGCCTATATCTGCCAGAAAATGCCTAGATCTGTCAGAAAATGTCTAGATCTGTCAGAAAATGTCTAGATCTGTCAGAAAATGCCTAGATCTGTCAGAAAATGCCTACATCTGTCAGAAAATGCCTACTTATGTCAGAAAATGCCTACATCTGTCAGAAAATGCCTACATCTGTCAGAAAATGCCTACTTATGTCAGAAAATGCCTACATCTGTCAGAAAATGCCTACTTATGTCAGAAAATGCCTACATCTGTCAGAAAATGCCTACATCTGTCAGAAAATGCCTACTTATGTCAGAAAATGCCTAGATCTGTTTATATGGCTTAGATAATCCCTGACCAGTTTACACCATCAGTTCGTGTTTCTCTGTTCCCAAGTCGACGGACAGTGGTCTGAGTGGGGTCCGTGGAGTGCCTGTTCCGTGAAGTGTGGGCAGGGCTCTACCGTCCGGCAGCGGAACTGCACCGACCCGGCGCCACAGAACGGCGGCTTGCGGTGCCGGGGACAGCCCGTAGAGATCAAACAGTGCACAAGGAACGACGAGTGTACTTCCGGTAAGTTTGAGTTTGAGTTTTATTTAGATCCACAAATAGCCTCATAAGTCCTGTACAAGAATTTAAGGCTATTTTGTTCTGTGCCGTATGCAGTTTATGCGATCCGTGAAAGGAACTTTCGAAATGTCCCCCCTGTGACGTAGTTTGTATTCGAAATGTCCCCCCTGTGACGTAAGCAATTTATGCGATCCGTGAAAGTCGAATGGGTCTATTTGTTGTTATGTTTAATTAGCTCAATATGTTCGTACATCTTTAACTGCGTAAAGAAGCGAGAAGAAGCTGAACCTGTAAATAGTAGATCGCATTAGGTTGTATAGTATGTAAGTGTCATTACTGTTTTCTTTTACCCTGTCTACCCATGACCTGTACTTAGCTCGTTAGAGCACAGGCGTACAATAAAGGTCTTTCATTCATTATTATGTTTACCGAAGGAAAACATATTGTTTTTACTCAGTTTCTTCTTCCTCTTCTGTTCCAAACACTAACCTCTGACCTGGCCAATGACATGATTTGTTGACGTCTGCCACCATGGTGACTGGTTTTGGTTGACATAATGTTGCAATTTCATGGTCTGCTCTGCTCTACTCCTGTCACCATATACTCGTTGTACATGTACTAGTATGTGAAAGTGTTTGAGTAAAAATTTAACAGGGCAGACCATGTCCGAAGGTAAACATTATGCATTTGCTTTGCAAATTTTACTTCTCTAGTTTGATTTGTTCTTCCTAGATTGCGATATGATTTTTGAGCCTGCCAAATAATCTTGGGGGTTTTCAATATACCTTAGAAAATGGGTGGGAGGGATTTAGTCGTGATGTGGGAGACTAAAACTAACCTATCCCTAATCGTTTTGAACAATGACCCAACCCTATCCCTAACCCTGGTCATAAACACCTGACCTCTCACGTTAGTGACAGATCAATGATTTGGCTCAATATCGGAAATCTAAAATCTCCAATTTGTTTGATTTGTTCTTCCTAGATTGCGACGGCGTGCTTCTGGAAGGGACTCCAATAAGGTTGGCTGTAGCCGCCATCATGACAGTGTACAGCATGATAGAAGAGACATCCAACAATCTTCCCGCGTTCGCCAGCAAACCGAACAGCGTCTGTACGGGCCCATGCTACCTCTACTCTTTGGGAAAAACACAAATCGAGGAAAAGGGAGGGTCCGTGTGGTGTTTTGGCCTCAAAGTTGGTGAAAACACTTGTTTAATCGTTGGGTATGGGCCATTTCGTCAGCATCCGACCAAGATTAACGTCATGTTTGAATCTGTGAATGGAGAGTTTACCAAGAATCCGGATCTAAAAGTCAGCTGTTATTATGGTGGGTATACTGTTTCTTCCAAATTTTGTTTAAGAAATGCGAAAAATAAGTTGTTAAAGCATAACATTTTGGGTGTGAAATTGTTTCACACTGCCGCAAGAATTTTTTTGTACCTTATATTGAACCTAACCCTAACCCTAATCGTAAGCCTATCCTAGCCCTGAACAATGATCCCAACCCTAACCCTAACTCTAATACCAACCCTAACCCTAACTCTAACACCAACCCTAACCCTAACTCTAACACCAATCCTAACCGTAACTCTAATACCAACCCCAACCCTAACTCTAACTCTAACACCAACCCTAACCCTAACTCTAACACTAACCCTAACCCTAACCCTAACTCTAATACCAATACCAACCCTAACCCTGGTCCTAAACACCTGACCTCTCACGATCAAAGATTTGGCTCCACACAAAAAGTCTGAAATCTCCAATGTCTTGTTTGATTTGTTCTTCCCAGTTTGCGCCGCTTTAGTTCTGGAAGGGACTCCAGTAGACAAGACTCTCCTCCCAGCCTTTACGATGTACAGCATGACAGAAGAGACATCCAACAATCTTCCCGCGTTCGTCAGCAAACCGAACAAGGAGTGTGGTGGCAAATGCTACCTCTACTCTATGAAACATACCTACCTCGAGGACAGGGGACGGCAACAGTGGTGTTTCGGCTACAAAGTTGGTGTAGCACAATGTTTCCTCGTTGCGTTTGGGCCACTTGGTCAGCATCCGGCCAAGATTGACAGAATTTCTGAAACTCAGGATAACGAGTGGCGCGACAATCCGAATCTGAACGTCTTCTGTAATGGTGGGTATATTGTGTCTTCCAAATTTTAATTTTTCTTAAGAATTATGTGAAAAATAAGTTGTAAAGGTACCACAGTAAGGAACACCTGACGTGGCATAACATTTTGGGTGTGAAATTGTTTCACACTGCCGCAAGAATTGTTTTTGTACAAATATATTGAACTGATAGAAGATCTTTCACGAAGTGACTTCTGAAGTACTTCATTTAGACTATAAGGACCTCCATGAAAAACAGAGGTATTATTTCTTATGTCGATGAAGGTGAGACATCCAGGTAATAAGATACGCCAGTTACTCAAGCAACAGGATATGATTTTGGAAGCGGTCAGATGTTTCTTATATGTGTGTATGAGGAATTTCAGGAAGACGTGTAATATCCACCATACACACCCCTAACATCCACACACAGTTCCAGTTACATGTAACATTAATTGTCCTGTATTCGTCCTCTGCGTTGGTGGCAGTATAAAATAGGTTGATATAACTTGAGTGTGCTGTCACCACGTCTAGTCATGAAATGTTAGAATATATATTTTAAAAAAAGCATTAAGATGAACCCAAACCGATTAAGATGAGCCCAAAACGCTTGCCGGACCGGAAATATAAACTTTCTTGCTCCGTCTGTTCAGATGACGCGAAGGAGTGGATGTATACATGGTCGCCCTGGGGCCAGTGTCAGGGAGAGCCTTACTGCAGCATCGGTACCAGACAGCGTGAGATGACCTGTCCTAAGGCCGTCGAGGGCTGTCCGCAGAACCAAGCCGAAGGCGACGTAGTGGCGACTGCTGAAGAGCTGTGTACTCTGCCGCCATGTCAGGGTAGGTCACCAAATCAGAGGTATCATTCTGTAACGTCACTACATGACTATGACCTTTACCTCGTTCGCTGCGCTCACTCAATGGCTTTATTCGGTGGTTATAGCAACTGACAAGGCTTTAAGGAAGAAACTGAGTAAAACCATATGTTTTCCTTCGGTAAACATAATAAACGTGTAGTTGATGGCGGCTGGAGCGGCTGGAGCGAGTGGTCAGTGTCCACGAGTGACTGCGGGGAGGGGAAGCAAGGACGGTTCCGAACGTGTAACCACCCAGCCCCACAGGCTCACGGGAAGGATTGCCCAGGGCCGCGACTCCTGGTGAGAGCCGTGAACGTGCCGTGTGAAGAGGAAGGTAAGTCTGTTTATTTAAAGGTAAAACTTTTGTTCCAACACACTTTTGTTCTCACCTAGAGCTTTCGACCAGTCACTCTGGTCTTCATCAGTAGACTGACCCAGTGAGACTTGTCACGTGGTTTCTATGAAGTGTGACGTCAACACTGGGTCAAAGGTATCTTGTAGACAAGGTCGTCCCCCGTCGCGGTTAATTAGTGTGACGTCGTGTTGACGTCGACACACTTCAGAGAAGTTTACAAGTATCATTCTGTTTTTACCATTCATCAAGCCAACCGATGTTGATTTTTACGTTTTAGGTGCCCGGCACAAAAGAGAGACGAAGGAGGTGCAAGATCTCATGGATGAAGAACAATCTATAGATGGTAATCATGGACAGCAATCTATGGATGAAAACGTAGTTCAGGGACAGCAATCTGTGGCGGAGAAGGTCGTTCAAGGACCAAGTTCTGTGCCTAGGGATGAAGACTACGTTCAAAGCGAGGCATACGGAGATCACGACTTCCAACACACATCACACGGAGACATCGCCGGTCCGGAAGTAGAAGGAGAGGTGATCGCAGAACTGACCGACGAAGAGTCCAAAACCACGTCGGAAGGGATGTTGGTTCTCCCAAGTTTTCTGGAGAAAGCCGGAGAGCAGAGTGAGGACATGGCTTACCTGTCAAACTGGGGGAAGTGGACGACTTGCTCAAGGAGCTGCGAGGACGGGATCAGGAGAAGACAGCGGGACTGTCTCTGGAAGGAGCGGAGGTGCAGAGGAGACATTCGTGATGTCCAGCTCTGCAACATACAGCCATGTCCAGGTTAGCAAAGTATCGTTGTGTCTGTTAAAACACTTATCATAGCCTCTTACTCACGCATTCCCTCACTCATTCACACACACTCACTCACTCACTCACTCACTCACTCACTCACTAACCCACTCACTCACTAACCCACTCACTCACTAACCCACTCACTCACCCACCCACTCACTCACTCACACACTCTCACCCAGCCACACACACTCACTCACTCACTCACTCACCCACCCTCCCACTCACTCACTAACACACTCACTCACTCACTCACTCACTCACTCACTCTTTAGCCTCTAGATCTACGAATTTCGTGTTTTGTTCTTATTCTAGGATTGCCACAATGCAGAAGTTTTATGTATTGATCAGTTTTTGTAGTTGAAAAGGGTTGGGCTTTTCCAAATTTTCATAGAGTGTTTGCTTAATTTTTTTCTCTAACCATACAAACTATGACACATATCTTCTCCAGTTCATGGTGGCTTTAGCGATTGGTCCGAATGGACGGAATGTTCCCTGACATGTGGGGAGGGCACGACGTCCCGTAACAGGGTGTGTGCCAACCCTGCGCCCCGGCACGGCGGACAGATGTGCGAAGGTCCGGATCGGGAGGAGAAGGCGTGTCAGAAGAGCGAGTGTCCCAACAGCGGTAGGTTTGGGCATCTGTTAGTAAAATGGGTTTCATTCAGAGACTGTTTTGTAAAACAGAAGAACTGTGTTGATGACAGTTGAGTTATCAAAGCTATCGTTTGTCAATGTACCATCTTCATCGCCAATTTAATTCTAGGACCTTCATGTTCACCCCATTTCCTGTGTCTAGCCTTTTGACCTCCTGTCTTTCTGCCCAACTACTCGCAAGCATACACGCAAACCCACAGATACAACCAGTGGCACGTACCCATAGTAATGCTTCCGTACCCAGAACTAAAAGACAACTCTGTGACAACTTTTCTAGGGTGGCAAAAGTCAGTATCAAATTGGCCATCCAGTGTCCAGTCGCCAGAGAGGGTCCAATCTGACACCCAAGGCGTGTTGGACCCTCTCTTGCCACCCTAGGATCTGCTCGTAGATTACTGAAGCCTTGTATACATGATCGCAGGTGAAGACCACAAGTGGCAGTGGCAGTCGTGGGAGTCATGGCAACCGTGTGACCGCACCTGCGACATGGGGTACCGGCAGAGGAAGAGAGGCTGCATGACCAAACCTGGGGTGACACAGCTCTTTATCGACACAAATCTGAACTGCAAAGGCAGGAGAGTGGAAGTCATGGAATGTCAGGTTGCCGAATGTGCAGGTGACTTCACTCTTGCCTAAATTGTCGCTTGAACCACCAAAGTCCATATCAACTACATTTTCATAAGGCTAACCTAATACAAAAGTGGGTGGCTAGTATGAGATATCAACTTAATATACAATCGTTGGAGGACTACAGTTGAATTGCTTATCACACCATCCAAGTGAATTTCCAGGGTTTTCGTTTTGTATTATTTCCACGGACTAACGATACCACATATTTCTTCATTCCTAGAAAACGGTAACTGGGCGGGCTGGTTGTCTTGGTCGGGTTGTACGGCCACGTGCGGGGAGGGTGTGAGGTCCCGGGACCGGACCTGTACCGACCCGGCCCCGTCTGGAGACGGGAAAGAGTGCGAGGGACAGGGGACAGAGGTGGAACACTGCTCAATACCGCCCTGCATAGGTAAAATTCAAACCATGACTGTTAATGATGTGTAATGTTGTATGCATGTATCTGCTAGCCTGGGTACCATCCCCAGTAGTATATTCGCAAACTCTATAACTGGGTCTGGACTTGCACACATATAAAACGATTGGTCATGACGTCACGTAATGAGCTAGCCCGAGCAGCGGGGCTTCATTTGATTGGCTAAGCCTCAGAGGCGACGGCCAATGTCGCGCCTGCATTATTCAAGTGATGTTTGTTGTTTTGTAAACACAGATCTTCGTGCGAGTGTTTCTTTTCTCGGTGCGTTCTTTTTTTTTACCGGTAGGACGCCCAAAACATCACGAACGAAATTATTCAATGCATCTTTTTGCTCGTTTTTGAGCGACGATATTCCGTCTAAATCGTCCAAAACGGACGTGATTGCGAGGTGAACAATCAAACCTCCGTGAGCTGAGCGGCTTGTGCGTCAGCCATGTTGATGATTTATCGCGGAAAGACTGACTACGGCTATATCATGTGCGCTGTAGCGTTCGGTTCGCCGTCGGACATGTTGATGATAAGGCGTTCGGACGTTCGAACGGACGCTAACGTCGCCGTTCGGACATCCGAACAGCCCTTACCTAATATGTACACACCCAAAAAAGGGCTTAGACGAGTAGGACCAATCAGCGCGCTCGTTCAAAATCTGAACGAATATTTAGACTCCAGACGCTACATATGTGTGCAAGTCCAGACCCAGTTATAGAGTTTGCGAATATACTACTGGGGATGGTACCCAGGCTATGTATCTGCACACGTCAAACCATGACTTTTTGAAATATATAACGTTATCGTTACATATAACTATTCAGTAGTTCAAGTCGCGCATGTCGGGGGCTTAAACTTTGAACATATTCCGTTCTGTACCCATGCGACCGGTACTTAGTTCTGTAGAACACAAATGTACAATAAAGGTCTTCATTCATTCATTATAAATGCATCACAACTAGCACATGCGCACTCGGCACTGTGAAATGGCTTATTGACAAACGCTTATTTAAATGTCGCCTGCCTCCTGCACAGAAACTGACGGGACCACGCGAATCTTCAGCAAAAATTCCTACCTGATGTACCCAGCACCGACTCACCCGGCCCACGTCTGGCGGGCCTTCGTCCGTTTCTTTCCGTACACCGGAGACGGCCTCCTGCTGTGGACCTCGTCGGAAAAAGAGCGTGAAGAAGACGATGTGATGATAGAGCTTGGGTTGAAGGAGGGGCTCATTGTCTTTAAGGTGGTTCTTGGCGAAGACGAAGTGGATGTACTCGGTGACGAACCAAAGGTAAATAAACCGCTCCTGTCTGTCGATCAAAATTCTGATGTTTCGCGCAGGCACAGCACGTTCTGCCGACATGCCAACTTCACACTAAATTTTTTTTTCTGCCAGATTGATGCTTGGAATGACGTCGTTGCCACCATAGCCGGAGAGAGGGCGTCACTGCGAGTAAACGATGGAGAGATTCGAGAAAAATTGTTCAGTGTTGAACATCCAGGAGCCAGCTTTGGAGGACAACTTTTCCTTGGCGGCGCTCTTGCATACTCGATGGATTCCTTCTTCAAAACTGGTACTTCTTAATACAACATTTTCGATTGATAAGGATTCTAGAGTCTTTTTTTTTCATTTATGAGTCACATGCTACCATTCTGTTCAAATGTCTTTCGTACAAGTGTACACACAAATTAATGCATCCAAAAAATCATTAGTATTTAATTAGTATTGTAAATATAATAACATATATGTTAATCAACAATGTATGTATAGTCATGTAGTCATGTCTGTCTGTGGCCCCCGCCATCAGCTCTGCTGCCAGGGTGGCCACTGTATTGTGAATGTCGCAATTTTCGAAAATAAAAAAAAAAATAAAAAATCATTCCATGTTGCCACACATACAAAAATGCCAGAAGATTGTGGTTATTTCTGTTTGTCAGGCTTGCAAGGGAAGGTTTGTGACCTGTGGCTGAACTACCAACAGTTCAGCCTGAAGGAGTACCCCTGGAAGGGGGACAGGATTCCCGTCGAGGGGCACAACTCAGCTGACGAAAAAACAGGTGTGGAAGAAACTTATGAAAACAACAAAACAACTTGAGACAATTTGATGGGGCTAACCCATCTGTCTGAAAATTAAAAAATATGGTAATAGATGAATTAGTAACTCACTCACTCACTCACTCACTCACTAGGACTGAGTGATTGATTGAGTTAGTGAGTGAGTGAGTAAGTGAGCGAGGCATATGGATGATCAGGATATTTGAGTTTTCTTGTACGCAACTACTAGTATGTAATAACTTAGCTGACAATGTTTTGGCTGATCGTCTTTGGCCTCGTGGATGCTACGACGTCGTAAAGTCTTGATTTTTCTCGTCAGTACTCGTTTCTCATTTGCATCCAGGAGCTCTTAGGTAATTTTTAAAAAATTCTTTGCAGATCTAGTCGCTGCTTCGTTGTTGTTTTCCGGTGAGGAGTATGCAGAGATTCCAGTCACAACCCCGAAGGCTGCGCAAGGGTCCTTTACCATCTCCATGGTTCTGATGCCATCGGAGGGGGAAGGCTTGCTGCTTTTCAACAAAGGGACTGAGCGGAGCACCTACATCATACTCCTCCTCAGTAATAACCGCGTCGTGCTGAAGCTGGGCTTAGACGGGGAGGATATTCAAACTTCTAGTGAAGAACTGAAAGTAAGTTACATCGACCAACAACTTTGTACCTAATACCGTTTATCACAAAGGTTCTCAGAAGAATTTGATACCGACGGCAGCCTTGCGCGTTCTCGTCAGAAACCGCTCTTGCGTGAGAACAATTGCACTTCAATATGGTGACCGTAAAGTCTGTTATAATATTGTACGTTGTCCAAAAAATGTCTTTGACTTACTCATTAATATTAAGGTTATACTATTGTACGTTGTCAGACAAATGTATAAAACATGTTTATTAATCATATTGTATATGTATAGTTTATTTTGTTGCACACGTAGTTTTTGTATTCAGCGATGCGTACCTGGTAAATTTCAAAAAGGTGTGTATACTTTATTTTGGCTGCATGTGTAGTTTTGCTCTAAATTGATGCACCTGTGGTAAATTTCAGCTAAAGAGCTGGGTGCATCTCCAACTGACGATCACAAAACGAGGGGACGCGGAGATGAGGATCAACAGCGGACCGGCAACGCAGTTGTCCTGCGAAGGGATGCAGTACCAACCGGGCCCCTCGCTCATGATAGGGGGCGTAACAGAAGCGTTATGGAAGGATCTGATCAAGAATAAGCATGTTCCAGAGAAGAGGGGGTTCAAGGGTGCTATTTATAGCGTTAAGGTCTACGGCAAGGAATTCAAAATGGCTGACATGGCTCTTCAAAAACGAGGGCAGCTGCTTAATTCGGCCACTACGACGAAAGCAGGTAACATATATGAAAACTCATAACTTGCCTGGAAACGTAAAGAGAATGTATGTCTTCCGTATGTTATGATGCCTATGTCTATACAGCGATTCTTTACAGCGATGCAGAGTCCAATAATTTACAAGTCATTTTTGTCAAAACATGATAGCGTTTCTATCTAGCCTGGTTACCAAACCTATTATAGCTCCCGAGTCCTACGATTTCTCTCGCAAATAGATAGGCTGTAGGACTTTGGAGCTATAATAGGTTTGGTAACCAGGCTAGTTTCTAACAGTTCCACCGCATATTCCAGCCCACTATTCAGAGATAGTGGCCAGTGATGATTCGTCTCTCAAGCTACGGTGTGACTACAGCTTTATTGAGGGGAAAAACCTCTCAAAACCACATGTCATATGGATGAAGGAAGACCGAAGGCAACAAGAGGGCGAATTCGTCAGCATAACTAAAGAGGTGAGTAAAGTGTTTCTCTTTGTATTAGCCTTCAAGTCAGCATACAAATGCACAATAATGCCAATGGCCTTATGGTACTTTCTGTTGTTAGCATGTTGAACTGAACCTTTAGATATAGGAAAATATGTAACATGTTTCGACTACTATTTTCTTGAAAATGTCAAGAATAAGTATACATTTCAAACGTTATTATCACAGTACAATATGTATGCCTGATTATGCTGGCTAAACTTATTACGTAAAAACGTTAAAACGTACTATTTTTGCATCGTTTGGAACCTTTAAACTAGCATGCTGTTTTTGATCAAACTGTTAGTGAAAATTGTTTCTGCATGTTGTAGGAACCTGACAATAAATACGTGACCACGCTACACTTGAGGGACCTGCATTCCAGCATGACTGGTAGCTACTCCTGCCTGGTGGTACATGGAGGAAGGGCATTCGTAACACATGCATACGGAATACTTGTGGAGACATCTGTCCTAGCTACAGGTGAGAGAATGAAACTAAGGGTTAAACTAGAAGTCAAACGTAAAAGAAAATGAATATAGAGTTGGAATCTAGGAGGGGTAGGTGGTGGGGGTCTTGATGGAGGTCATCGCAGAAAGAAAACATATTTCTACTTCGAAGCTTGTAGGAGTGGTTATATTATGTCAAACGGATTGACTTAATCATTCATTAAATCTGTTAGCACAATGCACGTGTGACAAGAAACAAACGCGCGGTCGTGTGGCGTAGCGGCAGCGTGCTCGACTCGGAACCAAAAGGTCCCGGGTTTAGTACTGACATGCCACCGATCTCGTGCCCTTGGGAAAGGCACTTAACACGACTTTCCCCACTAGACTCAAGTGAAAATGAGTATTGCATTGTCCTGTATCCGTCCTCTGCGTTGGTGTGTGTGCTGTCACTATGTCTAGTCTTTGAAATGTTGGAATATATAAATAAAAAAAACAGTCATTAAATTTTTCTTACAGGCAAAATGACAGCGACCGAGGAGGACAATCTAGTACTGGAAGTCATACTGCTGGTACTACTGGTGCCCTTTCTTGTTGTCATCTGTGTCTGCTGTGCTGCTAGGATCCGCTGCTGCCAAGAGAGGTGAGCATAGTTCTTTGCATGTTATTTACGATCGAAGATGGCTGTGAGCAATAGTCACAGAGATGAAACATTCAGTCTATACTATCTATGGCAATCACTCGTGATCTTTATTTGCAATCGGATACAGATTCACGTACAGATACATAGTCATGCACAGATACAGATTCATGTACAGATATACAGATACAGACTTTCCGAATAGGATTACCGTGTCAGTCCCTACACCTGAGTGAGGGTTACAGTTGACACGGTGGCCTTCGCGTGAATTTGTTTAAGGTGGAGACCCATACACTTGGGCATCCGTCTTCCCCAGCGGATCCATATTGAGGGAAACGTGCTGGTTCCGGTTGGGATGCTTGCAGCGAGCTGCCGGATGCCTTGGTTACGCTCAAGTTCCGCCTTGATCACATCAGCCCGCCTGGCGCTACTTTCGTCCGCCAGCTGAAGACAACTGCCGTTGGAGACTTGTCCCTCTAATTGAGGGGCACACAGTCTATATAATAGGGTTGTTCTATATAACAGCGTTTGACTGATCTACCACACCATAAGGTTGTAGACAGCCGCGTAGTTCGTTCGTATTTGTCCTCACTAACTAAAGTGTCCGTTCTTTCTGTGAGAAATCCCACATCTGACACCATCTTTCAAGAATGGCCATGGGGCAAGAATACAACAGATTACGTTTAATGTGCTCTTTTCCACTCTATATAAAGCTCACGTTTCGTGACTTCATGTAAATAAATCCTTTGAAACAGTACTAGTGCACGTTGCCCTAGTCAAACAGCATACAGAAAACAATGAAATCTTTTACAGGTTTCCATTCCTTGGAAGACTCTATAGCCAAATGGTCGACAAGGCTGGAAAGAGCAAGATCGTCAGGAAGGCAGGAGAGGCGGTGCAAAGAGCTGGACAGAGCAGGGTCGTCAGAACAGCCGGAGAGGCGGTCCAGAGAGCTGGGCAGAGCAAGATCGTCAAGACAGCGGGGGGAGCGATGCAGAGCATCAAGGCAGGCGTTGTAGACAAGATAGGCGCAAAGATACGCCCCAAACAGTACCGAAAGGGGACCGAAAGTCGTACTGATGATGAGGAGATGATCGAGGAATCGTCTGGTCACGAGACTGTTGTGTCTCTCAGAACGGATGCCATGGGGGAGGTCCCCGGCACTCCGCCGTCTTCAGACTTTCTGATCTCCTCACCCAGCACTACGCCACTTCAGTATAAGGTCTCAACATCGGTACCCGCGTCGCCAGAAGGGATCTCTATTTCTACTCCACCTCCTCCACCTCCTGCTGCAGGCCCACCTCCTGCTGCAGGCCCACCTCCTCCACCTCC